GCCTGTGTTCATCAGGTGAATAGGTGGGTGGATGGAACAATGTACTTTTGTAGCCAAAGCACAACTGTCATCGTTTGTCCTTTGTTCTCAGTGTGTAACAAGTGCCTTTGGTAGATATTGGGTGGCATTTATTCAGTTCACTGTTCCTGCATTCTCAGTCCTGAGTTAGTAAGGGTACTACTGAATGTTGATCTTGTGTTCTTGGCCAAATGTCCAATAATGTGTCTTTAATGAAAACAGCTGTTGGATCTGCTCTTAGCAATGTGTTTCCCAATGCCATTCCTATGACTTGCATACCACATGCACTGAACCTCATCCTGGAAGAATGGCCAAGACTATTTGACAGTTTAAACACCACAGTTGCTTCCATAAAGAGCTTCTGCTGCCAAACTACCCTGAACTTTGTAAGTCAAGGTTTTATGAACTCAGGCATGTTCAAAATATTTGAATGGGCTACAAGCTCAAACAGAAGCCACACAATTGGTGTGAATTATTTTTGCATAGCTCTCTGTGAAACTCGTGACAACTCATTATAAGAAAAACAACTATGGAATTTAAGAACTGGAGGTTTTGTTAAGAAGCATTTCAGTAAAACATGAGTAAATCAGAACAACAGTTTAGTATGTCTTTGTGTGCTTCTACTGAAAATATATTTTGGTGATTTTCTATAACCGTGGACTACATATTCTGTTAGTATAACTTTTTTCCCCTAATTTGTTCTACTGGAATGTAGTACAGAAATCTTTTCCCATCATTTTGTTGAATTTGGTTGTGTCAAAGCACACAGAAAACAATGGAGTTGTTTGACTGCAGTATTGTAGCCACTGTTAGACTTAAGTGATAAGTTCTGAAATCTATAACTGATTCTTTAGTGACTCTACATTCTGCAAGTGAATATCCAAACTAAACCTGGACTGTTTGCTATTGGACATGTACCACTGTTTGTTACCAGGCACCTATTTAGGAAGAACAAACAAACAAACACACCTTATTCTCTGCCTTCCCTTCCCCTTCCTCCCTGCCCTCCCTTCTGTCTTAGTCCCTCAACCCCCTCTTTCTCTCCCCCTTATTTTTTCCCCTTCTTCATAATTCTTCTCCCTCTTTCTCTTCAAACTCTGAAATGGAAATGTGTTTGCATTCCTGGAATGTGTCTATTCAAATGATGGCCTCTAAGCTGGGGCTGGTATGTGAATAAATGTTCCATGGATCTCATAATACACTCAAATATGTATTGTTTTCTTCTATGGAATGTGTTGCTTTATCTTCCAATTAAAAAACAGCAATAGCATTACTTATCTTCACCACCTACATGCAGTGTTTATTTCAACAGACAGGCTACTTTCTGATGGGAAGATCCTAATAAAATTTAGAGGACTTGAATAAATGCAACTAGCAGAATCAGTGCAATTAATTCATAAACTCTTTAAGAGAGAATAACCTCTAAAGCATTACACTGCATTTTTGGTGTACACTTTCCTAAGATTGTCAACAGAACAGAAAACTCAAGTGAACATAGTTTTGGGTATAGCTTTTTGAAATCTCTATGAAATAATTTTACTGTTTAGATTGTCTCCATTTTATAATGGTATACATATGGATGCAAAACCTGCTATTTACAGAGCTTACTGCTCACATTTTGACTATCTTGCTGCCAAAGACTGCTCAGGAAGCTGTTTTTTCTTGTTTCTGTGGACTCTTGTAAGAATTAATTTCAGAGGAAAATGGAAACTTATGCTTAATTTAGGCTGTGATTGAGTAGAAGAGAAAAAAGAAACTCAAATAATCTTTACCTCAAAGTGCCTTTTCATTTTTATTCTGATGTATACCACTTTTGTTTTCCTGTTTTTCAACTTTTAAAGCCATATTAAAATGCATAAACACATGGTGATAGGAATCTGTAGGAGAACTGTCATGACTTAATTTTTGTTCAATATGTGTTATATGTTTATATTTCCTTTGGGTGTAGGTATCTTTTTCCAGCTTAAGAACCAAAAGTGTTACAAAAACAGATGTAGTGAAAATAAGCAAGAGAAGTCTCATTTCCTTTGGTGAACAAAGTTCACAATTAACTTGAGTGTAATTTTATGCATGTTGTACCCTATCAAGCAGTTTTGTTGACAAAAGCTTGCTTTCTTGGATTTATTGCAACTGATAAAAGATCTGTGATGCCAGACAAGAATTTAGCTACATGGAAAAGGGGGAAAGAGTGGGTCAGATGTAATAACATATTCTAGATGTTATTCCTGCCAACAATTAATGGGAAAATTAATTTTATGAAGCTCTGTTTACAGACTGACATCTGGAGGACTTCTCAGCTTGGAAAATTTCCAGTGTGTAGATTTATGTACTACTATTCCTCCTCTTTTCCCCTTTTTTCCTTAAATATTCCACTTTTCAGATCTGTACCATTCAGTTAATTGTGAATGAACGTGAATTATTTTGTTGCTGTGATTTCTTTTAGGATTCAATGTACATAAAAACTGAAAATGCTTGCTAAAACAGATCTTCAGTGAATACTTATTGAAATGTATTTAGAGATATAAAGAAAATCAAAGTGTTCTTTTAACTTAAAGAAGTTCTGATCAGAGAAGTCAGAATATAGAGCATGAGTAGAACTTTTGAAGTATGAAATGAAAAGCTTGTAGTCCTAGCAGAAAAGGTCTCTTTTCCCTCTGTTTTTTTTCTTTTTTTTTTTCCTATATAGCTGTCTTTTTGAGTTGGAAAACATCTTTGAATCACAAAATCTTGGTCTACCAAATATTATATTGAGTAGTGTGTACTTGTGCCTTATCCAGTTTCTTTTTCAGTCTAGTGAAATTTTGAAATTTGCTTTGAATGTTTGCCTTCTTTCAGTGTGACAGTAATTGTAGTATGGTCTCCACACCTTCCTTCCTATGGGAAATCAAAGCATGTTGTCAAGGGTATCCGTTGTTATCTTGAGGATGTGTATCTTCCTACTTCCTTTTAAAAATTAGTGTGTTGTAGCTAAGGGCAAATAGACCTTTTCCAACTCTTATTCAGTCACTGTCATGATTGAAAACTAAAGAAATATTTTGGCACCAGAGGCCATCAATTCTCAAGGCTATGTAAGTTAGTGAATTTTGGGTTTAAGAATGAATGTTAGAAAATGTCTCTATTTCCATGTAGAAATTCAATAGATACTGATTGACTTGGTGAGTTTTCACTCATGCTGTTACAAAATGTTATAATATTAAAATATATGATGCCATTCTTAATAGTTCTTTGGGGCAGGAGACCTTAATTTTGTATCCTGTATTTACAGGCTAGTGTTTAAGCGTGTAGATTTTGTCTGAACAATAAAAATGTGAAAAATCTAAATTGACTTGTAAAACACTGACTTCTATTTCCTCGAGTCTTGTAGTTTACATTTTAGTCACAATTTTCAAATGGCAACAGAAGTACTGGTTTACAGTTATTTTCATTTAGGCTGTTGGTACATTTGTATTTAATGCAATGTCAGACATGACCCTACTGTTACAGTATTTTAACATGAAGAGGTTTTTTTTTTTTTAATTTCTGATTTTCTCTTCCATTTTTATAGCAGGTATCCTAAGTATTTGAAGCTGTCATGGGTTGCAAGTCTGATGCATTTACTCCTCACCTTCCTTTCTTACTGAAAAAAATTTGCTTGCTGTAAATCAAACATAAATCCTGTGATGCAACTCATACTTTCTCTCAGGGTGTATTCGGATAAAGCAGCTTGTCTTCACTCTTCCGTAGGAGCCAAAGATGCTGTATTAGTTCTTTATCTGGTAGGACTGAGTGTTTTCAGAGGCTTCACTGGAGCTGCCGTGCTTTACCCTGGCTAGTCAGGGTGGTACATTTCTTCAAGACATGGTGCATTGGTTTGCCAGTCATTCTGAAACTGCCAGGGAAAATGCAACTCTCCTACTTAGAAACGCAGCCTTTTCTTAAATTTTACTCATTTAGCTTAGTAAAGGGAGGATAGCCTGTGTTGCTGCAAATTTGATGCACTTTTTATGGGGCCTGGTGTAGAACATGTCTTTTCAAAACAGAGCAACTCTTGCATGAAGGTAAAAAGTCAGTCTGTGCCGTTGGGAGTTGATGTGCTGCTTACAAACGTGCTTTCAGAGCCCAATAGATGAGTACATGGATTTGTTTGCTTGCTAGTGGTGTTCCTGGGAGGGCTGTGAGAAAAAGATGCAGCTCAGCTGTGTGCTGTATTGTTGGCAATGTGCTTACTGTGAGGCCATCTTCTTGCTGTGGAATAGTGACACATCCTCCAGTGTCCTGACCACAGCTGTTCTGAAATAAATATACATCAACCTATTCCACTGCAAGCTATTCCAGCTGATACTACTACTAGATTATACCTCACTTCATAGTTTAAAAGTAGGCATTTGAACATATTTGAAGAAAAAGCTGTAAGTAATTGTGTTGTCTAATGAATGGCTCATAAAACAATGTTGAAACATACAAAGATGTTATACCATATATCCTATAATTGCTTGAGTAAGGCATGTTATTGGACACTGACAGTGTCCCTGCATTTCCTTTAATAAACGTACTGTATTTAATAGCCCATCAAAAAAAATCTGTATGTCATTTTCTGTGGCAAGCTAGCAATCTTCATAGGTTTGTTGATTTTGTAAAGTTATTTCATTCACACTTAATTACTTTATTACAAAAATAGCTCCCAGTAATTTGTTCTTTAATAAAAATAGCATTATTTTCCATGTTTTATATGGAAACAGTTTTGCATATTCTGTGGTCTAAATGAATTCAAACTTTTTTTTGAGATGACATAAGTAGTAAAGAGAATTCATTAAAGCACAATCAGCCTTCTAAACAATGGTAATTGTTTTCTTTAGCAACTGTTTCCTTGGAGTGAAAGTAAAGACTATTTTAGTTTTATATGTTCCTGTCAGCTAATTTATCACCTCTTTTCCTCAGTTATGCACCAGTGAATTTGTTTTGTTGCACAAACCCCACATTAAGAGTTGTCCATTTTCACCTAGGTGGCTGTGCTACAATCCCAGAGTCTGATCTAGAGGAAAGGACCATTATACCCGGCTCCACAGCAGTGTTTGCCAGTCATGGGCAGACCACAAAGCAGAAATCCAAGCCTGGTAAGAAAAGGAAAATTATGTTATTTCACTTATGGATGTACAGCTCATCTTTTCAGAGTGCTTGTGGATGCATGAAAAAAAAAAAGGCATCTATTTCAGCCTTTGTTGGCATAATTTCTAGCTTTTCTTGCTACAATAGTACAATGTGTAGGATTCTGAACTTACTCAGCTTCTTCTGTCAAGAATGGCTCAGCTGTAAAGGTCAGTCTTGGAATGAAATAACTTCACAGTTCAAAGGTTTCGTGCTGCATAGTACTTGAATGAGATTCTCACAGGTTTTATTCATGATCTCTTCCACAGAGGCAAAATGAAACTGTGGGCATTTTGGTGTAATAAAGGGTCTTTTTTTTTCCCCTGTGGTATGGTGGTTACATTTTGTGCCAGCTGATTAAAATACGGTCATTACTTATCTTTTGTGGGGAGACTTCCTAGAATTTCAGAAAAATATTATTGGCTATAATAAAATGAAATTATACTGGCTATAAAATATGCTGCATACAGTGATGACACATTTTCTGGAAAGACTTCTTGCTGCCGGGAACTGTGATATAGTGTTAACATATTTTAAAAGCAGCTCTGTAAAGTACTGCCTTGCAGTTTAATAAAGTGTCTGGTAAATTCTCAGGTTTTGACTATAGCAATTTCACATTTTGCTTGCTAAGTTGTACCTTCACACTTCTTTTCCCCTCTCCTTGACTGATTTTATCCTATAATATTTATTATAAAGTGTATTTGAATGTTGCTTGTAAATCAAAAGTCTTCATTATGGATGGGTGTTGAAGTTAAGAAAAGCAGCTTAGAGGTTGCAACCAACAACAGTAAAACATAACAAGTCCTTATTTATCTGCAAAACTCAGTTAATTGTGTGTTTAAAAAGCATTCAGCTCCTTGTTTGTCCAGCTAATTGTAGCACAGACAGGCAGGGAGTTGGAATAGATAGTTAATTTCAATAGTAGAATTTACATTAGAAAACTTTTATTAGTAGGCAGGAAAGAAGGGTATCTAATGCAGCAATGTATAATAATGCCACAGTGTAACTTAAAAATTAGTACCTGCTTACAAAACAACCTGAAAAATCCCCTGAAGGCCTACAGCTCTGACTTTTCTAGAGTGTTAATTACTTGTGGTCCTCATGGATTTCAGGTCAGTAGAAGAAGAGAGCCTGTCAAAGTTGACATAAATATAGTTTAACCTTTGCCATCTGGATATCTTAAGTAACCTCCTGGTAATGGAAAAGAATATAATCTCTCTGATGTGGGGTACAATCCTGATAAAAGTCCAACTTTAGGCAGTTAGACTCACAAACATATGGAAGGTTATATCTCTTTGCCTGATGCTCCAGTCTTCTGATCAAGCACATATTTGTTCAGTAGATAGTTGTCTCCTATATTTAAATAACCTTATTACTGAAAAGACTAGCATGAGTGGAAAAGTGTAGAAATGTATTCATGAGCTCCAGAAACAACAGCATGGGGACCTACATATCCTAGTGTAGGTCTTAGCCCATGATATAAATTGAGACTTACATCACATAGTTGGCTGTTGTTGCTTTGTAGCTATAAAAGGCAGAATGAAAACTTTGAAAGCTTTTTAAAAGTCTTCAGGTTTACAGCCATGTGTTATACAAGTGAGTTTAATTCATTCATGGTAAGAATTGACTGCCATCTGCCAGCTAGTGCTGCAATATAGAGAACACCTAGAATATCTGCCACCAAGCTGTCTGGAAATTCTAATTGCTATGAGTGTAAGAGCCAAGGGAGCTACTTAAACCTGAAGGTAACAGTAGGCATGAAATCACAGCCTTTCAATGTTTTTCTGTACATGATATTTTTGGACTGATTTCTTGCTCAGGCACCACAGACTGCAGCAAGACCATGGTGATTACAAAGAGCCCTCAAAGAATATTTTCTGTATCTTATGTATCTTTTTATTTAAATTTGCATTTAATTTAACTATGTGCATTAAATGAGAGGGAAAAACGGACAAAGTAGAGTAAAAGTAATTTTTCTTGTCATATCTTCCTTCATTTCCTAATGGAGTTCAAGATAGATTCTTATGATAAGTTGTGGGTTGGTTGTTTGATGACCCTAGTGACCTAGTGGGTCACTTCCAACTCAGGATGTTCTGTGATTATATGATGATGTGTTGGATGAGCTATGCAAAGAACTGAGGGAAATGAGGGACTGAGACCCGTAAGACTGAGAGAAACTCAGTGAGGAACTGTGCTGTAGGGCATCATCCTGTCACAGACTTGCAAATTACCTCATGCAAAGTATTATACTGAGACTTTCCAGGGACCTACTAAGCATGCGAGCAAGACTTTTAGCTTTACTTGGAATAGTTATTTAGGAGAGCTGAAAATGACATCTAGTAGTCATCTACAAGTCTGCAAGGACAGAATGAACGGTTTTAGCCCAATAATGGAGTCTCTTTGGAAGGGGAATTACTGGATTTATGATCTTTTCTTTTAATTGCTGAAGTAGTTCTCACTGGGTTGTTTTTCTTACTTATTTTTTTCTAATCCAAGTATATTGTGATTTCATAGTGAAGAATGGGATCACATTCATGATATTTGGAAGCTAACGGTATTATTGCAGTTATTGCAGTAGGAGTAGATTCTTTTAGATGGCTTTTACTTTGAGTAGATACGAAGTACTCCCTTAACATTCTCTGTCCCAGTGAATGGAAAAGAATTCATCCATTTCTTACCACCTCAAAACATGGAGTCTGTGTGCATTGCTTTGGGATGAATAATGCTAGCATGATAAATCCCTGCTGATTTTGTTCTTGCTGTTTTAGTTAGAAGGAGGACAGAGCAGCATATATTGCATATAGACTGCACAAGCCTAGTGGAGAATTTGACAGCTATAACACCAATGGTGACCTCTACTGCAATCAAAAATATGAATGTAGTGACTGTAGACTCTACATATGTACTGTGGAATTGCTTTCTCTTTTGATGTACTCTTCCTGCTGTCTTCTGTTTTATTCTTTACAAGTTATGTATTCCTAACCAGAGTTGCTTCTGCTTGAGTGATTTGACTTTATTGAGAAGTTTTCATGTGTTCTAGAAGGTAACAATTAAGAGATTTGCAGAGCTCTACTTCTCAAGCTCTCACTTGTGCTAGAATATTTTTGTTGGAATTGATTGAAAATATGGTTTGTCGCAAAGAGGTATAAAGCAGTTCTTGTTCGTGCAGGTTTTTTAGAGAAATCTCTAAGAAACATGGGAAACTGCCTTAAAACAGCAATTAAAGTGTGCTGGTGGTGAGCTTTAGGATGTAATAACATATGCATTTATCAGTATATAGTCCTTTAAGTATTTTGAACTGCTTGTATGCCCTGTGCTGCATGCTACTTACTATGAAAGAGAACTTCCTAAGACCTTTTTTTCCAACAAATATTCCTACTTATTGTTTTACATAGAAAGGGTCTGGTTGGTTTTTTATGAATAAAGAGTTTTATGCTGGTAAATCATGACTAACTTCTCTAAGTTGATGGAAAAGCAGATTAAAAGTTAGTATGAATAAAAGAATGTTTGGCTTGAAAAATGTATCTTGGTTTTTTTGGTTGTTGTTGTTGGGTTTTTGTGTGAAACCATTGTGCTGATTACACTGGAATTACCTTGTTCAGGATTTTACAGTACTGGAAGTCAGATTTGTCAAGTGTCATGACACGCAGGTAGTGGAATTTTCACAACTTGTAAGACTTGATTTTTCTGGGAGAATTTTTCATCTAAGATCCTGTAAACCTATTCTGTAAATGATCTATCTAAACAACAACAAAAAAATCTTTAATATTTAAGGGAAATATTTGCCTGACTTTGCCATGATAATGCAGAATAATTGTCTCTTCCTGAGAGAGCAGTATGGCTCTGTATTTACATTTATTGTTTAAACACAAATATTTCTGAGGAGCTATTTATAAGACAAAATATTTAGCATTTGGATTTGCTACTGTGCTTCTACTGTTTTAGTTATATTCTTTGTATGTTGCTGTCATGCAAATATTTAGATGGCTTAAAGATTAAATTTAAAAGTTCTCATCTTCTATGATTATATTTAGTAAATAAACTTCCATAGTTTAATACTCAAAGTATCTAAGACCAAAAACTGTGTCAGCATTTCTATTTATGATTGGGGTAGATTTTTAACTGTCTTTAGTTTGAATGTGCCTTATTATTTTTGATTAAATAGACAGGCACCTATACAACAGTGAGGTTGAGCTATAAACTCCAGTAAAACAAGACCTTCTGAGTGTCAGATTGTCAAAACACCCTCCAAAGCTACACCCAGACATGGTACAGCTGCATGTCTTTAGTGTATTTTATTTATTTTGTTACTTTTTCTCCAGCATTGAATGGCAATGCTCGTGTAGATGCTGTAGGTGCCATTTAAGAGATCTTTCAACTTCACCCTTCTGATCAAAGATTGCTGTTTTTAATAGCCTAGACAATTTTAAGAACTATCCCATGGTTCCAGCTCACAAACATGTTTACTTGCACTAACTTTTTAATAAACAAGATTGAAACTATTTTCCTTTAAAGGGTCTCGGGACACATTATATTTATCTATGTGCTTAATTTTTCTTATGAATACACAACTGTGTGAAACTGCAGACTACATTTGCTAAGTAGCTCATCAAAAAGTGATGTAATATAGGATGAAATTTTGTGATAGTGTTTCATGTATTTGATTTTAGAAAGGAGTACTCTTAAACACTTGGCTTTCTATAAAGAGTTAGATAGTAAGGAGCTTTTGGGTATGAATTGCTGCCAGCTCTCCACTGAGTCTTTTTATTTTTGTGCTGAACTGTTCTTAATATTACTTCTTGCCTACACATATGCGGAAAGGCATATCTTGGAATTTGTTTTGAAGGGTACCTAAATTTGCTGTAGAAACTCTAAAATAGGTCTGTGAAAGATTTCTCTTTTCTCTCATACATATATTGGACTACTAACTGCCCTAAATTTTCAACATGCATGAGTAAGGTGCAGATGG